TGTCCATGTGATTCCTGTGAGTCAGAATTGCAGTCTTGTGTGTTAAACTTTTGCCTCTGAACTTTATTATCACTTTTGTAACTTGGGATGAGAAGGAAATGAGGCAGCAGAGCTCAGGTGCAGGTGTTTTCCTCAGCTGCAGTCTGGCTGAGCACTGCTTTCCTCCATAGCTGTCTCTCCTGTTCTTAGAATGTGTGAAATATGTATCTTAGGGGACTTACTGGGCCCCATTGTATCTCATTCCATTTTTTTATTTGTAAATAAAGTTTTGTGTCTGCATGTATGTCTACATGTCTCTTTGCTTTATAAGAACTGTCAGAAATCTTAAGCCACATGTGAGAAGTGTTGCTCGGACAGATGTTTTACTTCTGCTTGCTGATGGGATTAATTGTGTTTATAGAGTTTTTACCTCTGGACAGTGTGTTATGAGCTACAGGGAAATGTCAAACACAAGAAAGGGGTCAATTTACAGAGAAGGCTGTCAGTGCATAATGGTATATCCGGGACTCTGACTGTAGCATGTGCCTCATCACAGCCAAGCCCTGTTCATTCCCCATCTACAGGCCCATGAGTCTGTTGTTGCCTGGTTTTCCCTTCATCTCTGTCCAGATCTGCTCTGTCTCCAGAACTCCAGGCTCCTGGCCCTGGCTTTAAGCCCTTCATTACTTGTTTGTATTTTTAACTCTAGTTCCTGTTTCATAGGATTCTCCTCCTGACAACTTTCAGATCTGACCCAGCCCAACTCTGTTGAGAGCAGACAGGTCTCTGTTCCTTTTACAGCATGTTTTCTGTAAGGAACATGAAATTCCCAAGAGGACTATCCAAGTGTAAGCACACTAGTGAGGTGTACTAGGACAACTTAATATGCTAAAATTTGATCAGGGATAATCTCTTCCTTTACAGGTCTGTACATTTTGTTAGCATACTTTTGTGCTGATCCATTAGCTAATCCATAGAATCTGTCACAGGAGGAGGGAATAAATGAGAAAAAAATGTACCATTTGTATTTGTCTTCGGTCACAAAAGTGCACATATTACTTACCTGAAGATACTTTTGTCTGATGACTTTGAAATAGTGAAATAATTTGGCATTTGTAGGTTTATTTGATTCAAAGAGACAAAGAGTAGAAAAACTAGAGAAGTGTTGAAAACATAAGTGCCAGGCAAGTTGTTAGATGTGAATATTCTTATATTTTAAAATTTTAAAGCTAATTGTTTGGGATTTTTTTTATACAGTATATTAAGGGTTAAGGACAGTGAGCTTTACAGTAGGGAGCAAGTTGTAACTTAGCTGTGGAATAGTAATAATAATTTCATATATTTTCTGAAATGTCCATGTGGCATCAGATGTTGGCAGCAAGACCTGGGCTCGGTAAGATATGCTGCAGTGCTCCTAACTTGGTGTACAGGATTAAATACACTTCCTGTTCCACAAAGTCCCAACTGCATATCTCAGTGTGATTAACTCTGAGTTGAAATGTCCGTCTTGTGGCACGTAAAATAACCTGTAATAAGGCAAACAATCTGAAATGGTCCTTTCTGTTAGAAGGGGGAAAACAAATAAAAGTGCAAAATCTGAAAATTTGAAACAGATTTCAAATTTGTTGGGTTTCCCCCTTTCGTACTCTGTGGTGCACAAAGAGACCAAACACTTGTGATATTTGTGCGCTGACAAACCGCGTTTGATCCACGGATTAACGTGAGGAAATTGCCTCTTTACCTTGTAAACATGCCTTGTTCTCTCGAGAGCAGATCTGGGAAATGCAAGTTCATATGCCAATGGTAACTGTTTTAAAGCAATGCCAGCGTGGTGCTTCATAAGATTTGTTGCTTTTCTGTCCTTCTAGATGGAAGAAGATAAGGGTTCAGTCAGCTCAGCAGGTGACTTTGCTGAAGGCAGGCACAGAGGGGAGGACAATAGGCAACTGCTAGAGCCATCTAGCCTGCCCGACAGTCCTTACGTTCACTAGGTAGTACTCCCACTCTACCCTAATGTGTGTGTATATATATTTACATATCTCATATACAGACAGTCATGGAGCCATTCCAAAATACCCATATTTTTGACATCCATAAGAAAATTTGCATCATAGTATGATTTTTTTTTTATTTTATCAAGCCGAATCATTCTGCACTTCAGTTGCTTTTTGATTTATTACATCAAACAGACCATTATCATATAAAGTATTATGTTTATTGAGATCCCGGATCTTACCTTATGAAAATACTTTATTTGCAGCCCAGTTATTAATAATATCTTGTATTTCTCTATACTCTTTTTTTTTTTTTTTTAAAGCATTGTCTCTCCTGCCTTGTGTTTCCAAAGGGTGTGTATTAGGTTTTCAGAGAACATTACTGCTTTGCCATGCCAAGTTTTACTGTGGTATAAAACTATGGTCATAATTGTCCTCCACAGGGAGAAAAGTGAGAAGAGGGATTCGTGTGTATCTTCCTTCCAGGTAGTGGATATAAATATAAAAATCTGTGTTCACCAGGCAGGAGCTCACCCAGTGTTACTTTACACTGAACTCTGAAGCTGATGAAACAGAATTGCTATTTCCAGGCTTATGTAAGGTCACATATGCTGTTGTTGGGGTTTTTTTAAAGTTATATTAATGGTTCCATAAATCGTAGTTCAAGCATGGTCCTAGTTTTCTGTGTCTAACTAGTGAAGAATAAAGGAAGCAGCAGCCCTCCAAAATCAGAGCTGAGGCTTCACTCTTTAGAAACAAGTTTGGGTTACTCTTGGTTCTTCTTTCTCACAGTCTTTGAACAATATGTAGGACTGCTAGCTCTCAGCAGATTCTAGGGAAGAAAATTGTCTGGTTCATCTGATCCTACGTAAAACCTCTGTAATGTGACCTTTTGAAGTAACTTTAAAGGTGTTAACTTCTTCTGCTTCAGGATAATGGATGGACTAAATATTCTTTTTGAAATCCTAAGTGTAGGAATGCTGGGAGTTACTGTTGTGAACACAGCTGTGAAGATCACTGCCACGTGCAGCAGGGAGCTTGTCTGCTGACCTCCAAGCAGGAATTCCTTCTGCTCTGTGTAATTCCTTTTCTGATAACTCTGTGAGCACAGTCTGATGTGGCTGTGAAGGTCATATTTGCTGGTACTGCAGTGCTGCAAATTGTGCCGTTCCTGATTTTCTTTGCAAGTGCAGTTGTGACCAGATGTGATGGCCATCAGAGGAGGGTGTTCAGGGACTCAGGCTCTGTTGAGGTGTGTTTTGTTCTGTTTGTGTTTTAACCGGAACCCCTTTTAGACCTGTGGGTTGCAGTGCTTCTGCTCCTGTCTCTCAGGAGTTCATTGTCATAATAAATGTTCCTTTTGTGTCCCCAAGACCTCCTAAATGAGCGTGAGTTAGTGTGTGTTCTGCCTGTGCTCATCCATGGCCTCCCAGGTGCAGCATCCACAGAATCCAGGATTCCAGGTTTTAGAGCTTTCTGCATGTTCAGACAACTGTTGACTGACAGTCCTGTGAGCATCACATTGAGCAGAGTGATGGGAGGGTCTGGAGGGACTATGGGGAATGTGGCACAGAGCTGAGGAAGGGACAGACATGGGGAAAAAAGATGCATGGAAACACCAGTGTTCCCTCCTTGCCCTACCAATTGGGATTTTTCTCTTGGATTTCCAAATGCCTCGTTTCTGTTGCTGCCTCTTCTTTGTTGTGTGGGAATTGTTCTGTTATGAAGCTGTAAATGTGTCTGGCTGCCTATTTTGGGGGATTAGGAAGGATTGTGTCCACTCACAGTAAACCATTCCCACAGGGAACTCTGAGGTTCTTTGCTTTTGTTGCAGTGTTCAACAAGTGTGAGTGTTGTGCAAAAAATTGGGGTTGCAAACCAGAGTTCAGACAACCTTTGGTCACGCTGTGAAACGTTGTGGGAAGCTCTTAAGTGAACTGTGTCCTATCACAGACTAAGATGCCTCCTCCCAGAATCTTCATTCAGTGATGTGAGGACAGGATAATGGATGCTTAAGTCTGTGTGTTCAATATTTGTTTGACAGGATGCCCTCATGGAGAGTTTCAAATTAAATTAAAAAGCGTCCCTACACTCCACATTTTTATTTCCTTTTGGAAAGGTTACTGGAGTCAGTTTAGGCTCTTCTCTCTAGAAATGCAAGATTTCAGGGAGATTTCAGGTTGCTGCAGTTGGCTGGTATGCAGCAGTGCTGTAAAGGAGCACACTGGTAGGTGGCACTTACACCCATACATCTCTCTTACTGCCTTTTTTCCCCCCCTTTATTCTTTCTATTGCTTTTTTTTCTCACCTACAGAAAATCAGCTGTTGAAAGTTTATTATGCTAATATTGAATTATTCTTTGTGTTGGCATGAACATGACTGAACCTTTCTGACATCAGCCTTGTTTGCATTTGGATAAACAATGTTTGTAAAATCAGGAATGTGCTTTTGTTCTGTACCAAGCCGAGGGTATCTATGGTAGTGAAAATCTGTAAATTATTGTAGGAAGTTGCATTCCACACTTCTCGAGGAAAAAATATTACATAGGATCAGGTTGCTGCATTGTATTCTGCAGCCCCAGCCTGAAACTTTCTCTTGATTTCCCTCAAAGTAGGACAGAGCTGAGCTTGTATAAATTGTTGTCTGGCCACTGAGGTGAATCCCAGCTGAAACTGCATGTGCTCTGCTGTGGGGTTTGTTAGAGCTGGGACACAGAGAATTCCTAACCAGTTCATTTCCAGCTTTAGGCAGATGTGGTGTTAAACCATTTCCATGAGCTCACCAAGGCTGCAAACAAACCTTGGAAAGATCAAATTTTAGTGTATATAGGCCTCGGGGCACGGGAATGTTATTCCTCATTGTAGTTCTCCTATAAAATTGAAAAATATTCAACACTCTAACTTTAAGAAAATCTGCTTTTCCTAAGTGTTTTCTGATAACATCTTCATTGCTAGACTTTGTGAGTACTGATTTTTTTTTATTTGTTTTTGTTTTGTTTTGTTTTGTTTTTTTATTCCTTCCTTCCAGCTTACTGAGGCAGGTTCAGGTATCAACTGCTTGGACTCCATGTGCTGCTTCTCAGATGGGGAAACAGCATGCACATCTGTTAGAAGAATGTTGGAACGACTAATGGGAAGATGTAGCCCAACCCGGGTCAACAGGTGTGGCATTTCTCTCAATAGCCTTTGCTGCAGACGATTCTCCTATAAACTGGAACCCGATGAGCCTGCAGCAATAGATGTCTAGAAATCAGCTGCAGGTTTTGCTTACCTAAGTAGGAGATGCAACTCTTTATTGTACTTCTTTTCATCCTAAAAGATTAGTTTCTTGTTTCTTTTTGAGTGGTTTCTTTTAGGATGGGGAGGGGAAAAACAGTTTTCAAAAGATTTCTGTTAAAGTGTTTAGTTTGGCTTTACTACAAGTTCTTGTGTTGTATCTATCGTAATTTCTCTTGATTTGTACATTCTTCTCTTTAGAAAATCAAGCCTTGCTGCTGTTTTTGTTCTCCTTTTTATGATTTTTTTTTTTTTGCCTTCACGAATCAGGAGTTGTTTATGAAGTCGAAAGACTTTTCCCTTTGGTTCTGGATGTACAACCTCCAAATATTTACCTTGGAGCTTGAATTACTCCCGAAGATATACAAAAGGCTCACACTCCCCCCCTTAAATATAACTTCATTGTTAGAAGGAGAGTCTTTAAATCTTTCAGCCATTGATTGATATGAAGATGAAATATTTTTGTAGTATAACTTTTATAAGCTATTTCTAAAATCAGAGTAATTGACAGAACAGAGTCTTCAGGTTCTAAGAATTTTAAATGTTTTTTCGGTTCTAGAAGGTATATTGTCAAAATCATGTGTGCCATTCCAAAGTATGTGCTAAATAAATCTTTCCTCCACAAACCATGTGTGAAACAAACATCAGTGGGATAAAAGCACGTTAGAGTAATGGAACATGTCTAAAGAGCAATACTGCTCTTATGGTCAGAGGAGCTCTCACTGAATCCCCTAATGTGCCATCTCCCCATGTCCAAATAGAGGGATAGTGAACAAACATGGAAATATTTGGGGGTAGAAGTCAAAATAGTCTTTTGTACATCGTAATCTCTCAGTCTCTGAATGATATCATGGTCCTTCACTGGTCAAAAGGCAAACCTGAAAACATTGAGCTTCACACATTTTCAAGGAAACTCATTTTGTATTTGGACAACTTTGTCTCTTTCTGTTAAAGGTTGTGATATCATTCACTGGGTATCAAGTCTGGTGTGGGTAATTTCCACTGACAGCTTTGTCAGCTCTGATTCTGCCTTTAGGTATTGCCTGGTCTGTAGCTCATCTCTGTTGGAACTCTTGTGTTGAACACTGTGTCTGTGGTTTCAGTCAGTCTCTCTCTTCTGGCTTGCTTATGAAATTTATTCAGTGTTTCTACAAACCTAGGTTATGAATATGCAAAATGTTTCATTCCATATGAAATATGAACTGTTATGACTAAGTACATTTTTAATTCAAACTTGCTGTATAGAAAGCGGGCATGATGTGTAAAATAAACAATTTAATAGAATTTTTAATCTACAAGGTGAGCATTTAATTGGTCTAAAAATCAACATTTTGGTAGCAGTTGCTCTAAGTTTTTTGATGTTTTTTTCCACTTCTCTGTAAAACTCTGCTTTCCAAATGAGGAATTTCTCATGCTACTTCTTTTCCATTTATTGTTATCTAATTAAGGTTTTTGTTAACAATTGCCTTAGTAACCTGTAGTCTTATAAGGTAGGTATTCTGTGTTTTATTTAATGCATTCACAGTTTTACGATTTTCTCTTTTGTTCCACTTAAATTTTCTTTCCTTGAGAACTTACAAATACTTATTGAAGATAACTCATATTTGACAGAATATTAAACAATCTTTGAAGACTGCTTTTTCTCAGGTTTCTTGTCTGCTTACCTCATGTAATTTTCAGATGAAGTTCCATCAAGCCAAATAATTGTAGAGTTCTTAGAACACAGACAATAGGATTACGTTTAATGAATATGCAAAACTATCTTGGTGCTACACTAAGGGCTTGCAGTTCTATGGTTTTTGCTGCTGCCTCTGGTTGAAATTGCTCTGAACAATCTTCTAGTTTCACTTAAATTTATGTACAGTACAACGAGATAAGAGATTTTTTTTTTTTTTTTAAGTGTGTCATACTTGCTGTCTTCAGTGACTTCAGCTCCTTCTACTCAGCATTGACACTTAAAACCAAGGCTAAAAGTAATTTTTTTCTTTTACACTTTCCTGGTAATATAAGAAAGTCTTTGTTCATTTTTTAACGTCTTAATTGCTTGAATCACACGAAGCAGTTACAAGTCGTGAAATGCTGAAGGTACAGTTAAGAAATCTCTTGAGTGATTTTTTAAAGTGCTTGTAAAACTGTTTAGGCTTTGTTCACGAGCTTGAGCTGCTGTATTTTGTATCTAAATCTTCAGAAAATTGTGCAGTCCCCAACAGGTTGGTCTCTTGAGCACTTGTGCTGTATAAAGCAGCAAATTATTCAACCAGGAGGTAGCTGCACATTATTTTTGTTGAATGAAGTGATGCTGAGAAATACGTTGTCTGTGCAAGTGCTGTAGAATGAAGAGCACTTCTTTAAATAATGTTGCTGTAGCAGCTTGTGTTGTATTCTGTGTTCCTGATATTCTGTCAAATATGAGAACTGAACAGGAAATCCAACATGGTATCAAATTTTGATAGAAGCTTTGATGAATCAAAGTTGTACAAATGCTTGGAGTAGTTGGGCCACAGGAGTATAGTTCTCTTGTGTTTATTTTACTGCTTGTAAAATGTATTTGAGAAGTATTTTCTATAGCTCCATTCACCAGTTAGGCTATAAAATGTGTGGTGTGGTATGTTAAAAAATGCATTTTTGTCTGTCTGTTCCATTAAATTGTCTGTCAGCTTGTCAGTCACTCAGATACTAAGAATGCTGGATCACATTTCTTGTACAGTAGGATATCATTGCTGAATTGTTGGATCTCCCATTAGTGGTACTTGTGTCAAGGCACTGCATGTAACAGTTGTAAAGAAACAGCAGATTTCTGACAGAGGCTAATTTGGAGGATAAATTCATTATGTTTTGATTTCCTACCTTCCAGTCTTCTATTTTTCAGCATTTCACATACAATTTTCATAACGTTGTTCAGCCAAGAACAGTATTTCTTCCCAAGCAGTAATTTGTCCTCAAGTGAAAGACATTGTGAGATCCCATCTCAGTCAGAAGCTGTGACGTCTTAGGTAGATTTCCTGATGTCTTAAAATTTAACAGTAAAAGGGATGAAATGGATTCATGGCTGTGGATCAGTTTTGCCTGCCCACAACTCCAGCCAGTGTGGATGTTTCCCGTTGGGACACGGGCGTGCTGGGTTTCCTGGGGTAGCTGTGCACCACAGGGCTTTGCTGGAATGGCCTCAGGTGGTGCCTCAGTGTACACAGGCAGAATTCAGAGTCTCCCTTTAGTGGCGAAAGGGGCATATAAACCTCTGGGTGTTTTAGTTCATAGTGAGGAATATATCCGTAGCTGTGAGTAAATTGTTAATTACACAGCAGACATGAGTTGGCATCTGTTCTCAAAGGTCTGAATGAATTGCAGGTGCCTACATGAAATGAATAGATTAGTCTTTTAAAGAGGAACATTTGCCTAATCTCATAGCACTTCTATCTTTTGCTTTCCTAGACTTTTCTCCTCACCTCTGTAGAGTGTAAGTTCCCAGTCAGCCAAACTTTTCTTTTATTGTTACTTTAGATCATGGAGTTCCTCGGATCCCTTCTATGCCAACGACAGAAGCATCTTGACTCTCTCCACAATGGACTCAGCCACTTGTTGACAGGGACATTTGTAAATGCCTTGTGGAAGCCATGTGGTGCTCACACACCTGTAGGTTCTGAGGCGAGTCCAGTGTCCGTCGCTGCCCTAGGAAAGAGTAGAGTGACTCCTAAGCACAGACCTTGTCTGTGGCTTGGCATCTGCACAGCTATTGCTTCCAGTATTTTTTTTCTAATTATATCTACAAATTGCTAAATAATTTTTTTGGAGGTAAGGAATGCTTTTACCTCTGACCATTTGATCTTTTTTGTTACCGTATGAGCAGATTGAAATCCTGAATTTAATACTTGAGACGTCACTGCAGCGCAATGACAACATCTTTCTCCTCCCAAATTTGAGTGATCCAATTTGAATCAACTTGAATTTGCACAATTGAAGTTTTAAAAGTCGCATTTTTCATGATGACCCTTCCCTTTAAACACACACATTAATTTTGAGCTGTGTCTCAGATGCTGCCTTAGCAGTTTGTGGATCAATTTTTTTGTTTCTGTGGACGGTTACCATATTCTGTGAGCAATCAGTTTAGTAATTTTTGAGAGTTAAATGCAATTCAAATATTTATGCTGGTATATGAGTGGCAATACATTAGTCATTGCTTTGAAAAATACTGTTAACTGTGACAAATCAATAATTTGGAATACTAAGGAATATAACAGTTCGCTGTTCTCGTAAAGTGTAATTCGGAAGCCAGTCATCCTTTATTGTGCCATGTGTGGGTTTTATAACAGTTCCAGATCCCGACATGGAAAACTGTTTAAAGAATTGGTGGATTGTGCAGAAGTCTCACTAGCATAAATTTTTTGAATTATTAATCTTTTAAAGTTGGGGAATTTTTGCATGTTTTGTTCTTTTTCATGTATTTATATTTGGTCATGTTGTACTTTGAAGATATAATTAATGCTTAATTCTCTTCGTTATATCGGAAGGATCCGAGACCTTGATGGCAATGTTTTGATACCCAAGTATGCCAATAAAAGCAAATTGCACAGTTGGAGGTTTGAATGGTGCATCTTGCAGGTACTTCTGTGCCAGTATAAACGTGTCTGCAGGCTTGGGGCTGGGTAGCAGCAACATTTACATGTTCCTTCAGCCAGAATGGTTGTCTTTGGATGTGGGAGATGAAATGGAGGTGCTGCCACAGGGATGGCTGCAGAGCACTGCCTTGGGCACAGTGGTGTTTGTGGGTTGTGGCTGGTGAAAGTGCTGCTGCTTTGGGACATCCTGTTTTAAGTCAGCCTCTGACACTGAAGTCCCATCAATAACTTCAATATTCTCCCTGTCAGGCAGCTAAAGATGTAAGGCTGTGTATTTAAAATTAACTCAGGGTAGAATAAACTGTAAATCAAACACAGACTGTAAATAACACCTACCAGAACTTCTTCAGTAAAGGTGTGGGGAAGTGTAGGATTCGGGCAAAGCCGCTTTCCCCCTGCCTGGGTGAGTTGCTGCTGTTGCCCTCAGTGCTGTCCCCCGAGCACATTTCACAGCAAATCCTTTGTATTCCATGATTTAGGCAGGCACACCCCACCCTCCTGGTGACATCTCAGTGGGGGCCTGGGCTGCTGCCAGAGGAGTGTATCCCTCATTCTCAAATCCCTCATCCCAAATTCTCCCGAGTTCAATGAGGAGAGGAAGCGTTGAAGAGGTCCCTCTTTCCTTGGCTCAGATCCTTTGCATGTGCCTTACCAAAAAACAAGCTTGAGCTTGAAAATGTCAGGTGTACACTGGATCCCCACAGCAAGTGTCCAGGGGATGAGGAATCACTAAAATTGAGCCTTGCCTTCTCCATGCAGCAGGTATGAACATGTGACTCATCCCACTCCAGGCAGCTTGAAACCTGGATCCAGCACAGAGGTGCAATAACCTGATTGTTGTCTCTCCAGTCCCCCAAAAAAAACTTATCCATATATGCACTACTAGCAAAATACACTTGGATTTCATCTACTCCTATCACTTTGTATTTCATATCTATAATATTATACATGGGTTTAAAATTATTTTCTTTGTAGTAGTTTCTCATTCTCAGAGTCTTCACACTGGCACGGTTACCTAGGAAATGCAGAATTACATGCTTTAATCAGATATCTGCTGTTTAGCTGTATCTTTTACACCTAAATCACAGTGTTCCACCTTTCAGCAGTACTTGTTTGTCCGTGTCAGCCACAGCATTGTCCCGTCAGTGTGTGTGACCGTGTGACCTCATCCATCCGTGTGGTTCGTGTGTCCTGGACCAAAATACAGACTGGGGTTAACGTTGTGCAGTAGGAAGCAGAGGCCTTGTACAGCCCCACTCCAAGCATTTCCATTGGCTCAGCTCTGTGGGTGATGTATTTTGGCTTTTACCACAAAAATGTGTTAATTATATTTGCACAAAAGCAGCACAGTCCTATATTTGAAGAATAATTTACATTCATTATGTTTCTTTAAAACCTTCCATCTCCTCTCCTCCCTTTCCCCCCTACTTTCCCTTTTCCCAGTGTTTGTAAGGTTACCGAAGAAACATGCATTTAAACAATTAAGGAGGAACTTAAGAATCCATCTGTCTGCCAAGGTATATTTTTCTATTTGCAGTAAATCTAAGTCAGTAATGTCTCGTTCAGAACATAGACATGGTTTGCCTTAGACGAGATTTTTTGGTGTGACAAATACTTTGGATGGAAGAAGTGACTGGGGTTTTGTGTTGATGTCACAAAGCTTTTAAAAACACTTCTATTCAAGGAAGAAAGACTTTGTGTATTTCTTTGACAGCTGAAGTGTAGGAAACCATTCACTGTGCATTGGGCACAGTGCAGAATCCTTCGTGTAGAAGCCAGAACAAAATCCAGCTAATTCAGTGTAACACTGGCATTTGTCCCTGAGACAGAGCGGGAACGGGTGGGGGACAATTTGCCATGGGGAGGAAATGTCTTATTATTCTCTCTTAGCCTTGAAATCCATAAAAGCCTGTAGTAGGTGTTTGTAGTTCAAAGCAAGAGTGGTGTACACTCGCTTTACTATGCAGTGTCTCTGAAGAAGCACCTTCTCCACAGCCCCTCCCAAATGGGATTGCATTCCCAGCAGGTCAGTTCTCGTTCTGGAAAAACAGGGTTTGGTTTTGTTACTTAGGAAAACATAATTTTAGTTGCCAAGCTTAAGCTTTTAAAAGGATGCAGTGGAAAAGACTTCAGTGGAAAGATGTTCTGAATTGTTTCACAAACTAAAATGTAAATATTCCGCTTAAGAGTATTCTGTATATCTTTTAAGGTTACAGGTAGGGGAGGAGGAACAAAAACTGCAAAGGAAGGAACCCTGAAAACTTTGGCTTTATATTTTCAGAGTGATTTATTGTTTTCAAGTGCAGAAGGTGATTTGAGAAAAGCTCATGCAATTCAGAATGCATATTAGGCACCTACAATGTCTTACTGAAAACCTTTGCTAGTACTTTCAAACATGTTTTTTATGACAGTGTAACTTCTATATTGGAATCAAATATCATTTTCTAGTGTTAGAAGTGTCTCAAAGCTGTAGTCTAAATCACTTTTCATAGTTGGATACTTCTGTACTTCTAAGGAGTTGTGATTTTGGTGAAATTCAGTGTTAAAGTGCTCAAGCATAATGTGCTTCTGAACCATTTATTTTTGAGCTATTTTGGGATTCTCATTTTTTTGGTGTAGAATCCCTAATAACTTGCCATCATTGCTGGACTCACCACTGCCTTGTTTGTTACACAGATGTCCCTGCTTACAGTTGTTCTAGAACTGGGCAAACCACTCACTAGGGACTAATTTTAGCCTTTATTCTGCTCCTAAATTAGTTCCCAACTAGACTCTCTTCTTTGCAGATCTGGGTTGGGGGTTTTTTTGCAAACATTTTTATTGTTGGTTGTTTTGTACGTTCTTTGCTTCTGTTGTTTGCTTCCAGCGGCATGATTTGTCTGGGTTCTGCTCTCTGGGAATGACTCAGTTTGTAACAGGAGGAGGGAAGAACGGGACGATCGTGGCTCTATCAGCTCTTGCCATCAGTCGTCTTAGAAGCGCATTTGCATCGGTATTTGCGAGGCTTCTGCTTGCCGTAGATTTTTTTTCCTTCAGCTAAATCCTGCTCCCAGAGGCATC